TATAAGAGTATAATAATGTTATTTACCTCATGAATAATATTTTTTTTTATATAGATTGTGTAATAGCAAACCACGCAAGCAAATATAAAAAAGCTTACCAATTGAAAAATAGTCTTGTTAATCACCAAAATTAATACTCAAACAAAAAAGCTAAACGATATTTATATAGGGAAAAGTACAGTAAGTATCATCATTTTTACTTTCTATTTCAAATTCGAACAATTTAAGTAAAATAAATATGACTAGCAAAAGCATTTGATCATTATTACGCAGATCAATCAAAACAGGTTCGTTTACAGTACGTTTTCTATATGTAAACATCGACAAAGCGGTATCTTAACGTCAGTAAAAGGTATTATCTAGCACAGCAATGCGATTCGTAAATTATTCTTGTATTAAACGAACGGTATATTGACTATATACGAAGTATGACGATCACTCAAACCCATCATTGAGGTATCCGTAAATGGACTGTGTTTGCATAGTTTTCGCATTGTACATTATCCAAGGTACTTTGTAAATTGATTATTCACAGGTTGAGTTTACTTTGATGGTTCAGTCACGTTTGATATAATTAATTTTAGTTGTAGCAGACGATTGACGTGAGTATGTTTCACTGAAAAAAAAGATGCGATACAGAACTTAATAAGGATTTCGAGATTAGATATGAATTCAAAATTCTTTAAAAACTTCGTACAAAAGTTTTTTCTTTTGTTTTATAATAGATTTCGTAGTTGAAGTTCTGTTAGATATTGAATAAAATACTACTTAACGCCGGCATACTTTTCAAAATGTATTTCTATCTACTCTTAATTATATCTAGCTCTTTATTTCAATTGACTAAAACCTTATATTTATAAAAACCCCTATTTTTGTATCTATCCATGTTATCAAAATCGTTGAAAAATCGACAATTTTATCGCGATTATTCAAATATACAGTGACCCATAAATATTAAAACGATAAAAATAGAGAGAAATATCTTCGCATCGATTCAATTAAATAAGCTGGTTTTCTTGTTAATGGTAGAATTTGGTTCGAAGTTCTATTTTTCATACGGATAAGGTAAGCAAATATTACTGTTAAGTATTATTTTTGGAATCATAAAAGAAATTTTACCCGTTATTAAGTAAAAATAGCGTTTAATAGATAATTTTCAGTTGTCATCTAGAAGAATAATAAGAATACGTCAAAACGCACTTTATGAATGAATCTGTATTGATGCACATAGAACAAATTTTCAAACATGAAACCAAGAAGGAAACGACAGATTTTGTGAATTTTTTTGACTTTGGTAATTAATTTTATTTTAATGATTTAAAATGATTTTCGGTTTAAATTATTCAGATAGGAAAAGAATAAAGCACACTGAAATACAGAGTTTAGTTGCGCTCGTTTTTTCTAAAACGAAATAACAATTTTTAATTACTCAGTATTTTATAGTGAATACTCCGTATCATTTTTTATTATACTCTCGGCAGGTTTTTGCTCAGTAAAAAATCAGTTTTAGCCTGGTAAATAATTCGAAAAGTTCAATAATTAATTTAAGAAAACTCAATTTTTTATTTATTTCTATCAGTAAAAAGAATACAATTACAATTAACGAAAGTTTAGTGCATCAGTAACGTTCTTTTTTTCAGACTTCGGCGGTGATCTCTCACGACATCTCTTTTCACCAATTTTAAGAATCTTTAACACTAGTTGAAGATTTGCAGCAGAGTTTAATCTAGTTGTCATACCAACACCATGCTTACACATAGATTTTTTGAAAAATACTGAACAATTGCATACATCATCGAACCGTTTTAGTTTATCTACTAGTGATGCGTAATACATCAAACATTGAATGCTTTGTTTTATATTGATCAAAAGTATATCATTCATTTTCTTCTCTTTTCTTATTTCCATTATGTACAGTTTCATTTGTATTTATCTCCTCGTCAGAAACATAAAATCATACTTTAACGATTTCCATCACCGTTGCTATTTTAAAACCAAATTGGATATAATATTATCAAAGGGTTATTGGTCTAACAGATCAATACTAAGCCATGTTGATACAAGGAAAAAGAAGCCTGAACTATATCAAGAAAAGAGAACGTTTGAAAAATACATTGAAGCGAAAGAAAGAAAAGAAGAAAAGATATACATATGTGTATATTATATTCTACGATATTCGTGTGACTGATAATGTCATCATCAATCAACTTGGAGAATCATTGTTCTATTTACAGCAAGATATTTTCATGAAAAAAATCACTACTGATACAAGTACTATTCATTTAACTAGTAAATGAATTTTTAAATGAGCAAAACTGAATTAGTTATTGATACTGAGCAAGCATCATAGTTTACCAAACATTCAATTTTATACTGATAGTTTCATTTATTTACTGATCATTTCTATATAATATTTAGTGAATTATAGTGAGCTTTTACAAAGAAAATACTGAGCATTTAATTTGTCCTAAAAAAACAAGAACAAAATTAAAAAAATTGATAAATTTGCGATGAGTAAATAAATTTACGAAGACACCCATATTAATTGAATGTGTTAGTCTAAGTTTTTACTTTAATTAATTAGATTTTCTGTAACGTTAAAAGTAACATTATATGATTGGAAATATCACTCTTTGTTAAATTCACTCTTCTGGTTATGCAAAACATTTCTTTGATCATGACAGGACAAATATAAAAATCCTGTAAAGACTGTCACAGCCTTTGTCTAAAGATGTCTTTCATGAATTAACAAAAACAAATAGAGTGAAATTACTCAAATATTCATCTGTACTTCAACAGCATCCTTTTATGAAAGATTTTTCGTCTATTGAACTCTATAGTCAATATATAGATAATCTTTAATTTGATATGATGCTGTTTTCATAATATATGGTCAATCTAAAATGTAGTTTTTATAATTAATATCGACGAAAAACTATAGACCAAAACGTTTTCTCTCGAAACAAAATATTGCTTAGAAATTATAGACATGTGTATGTAATCTTATTGTGAAATTATACTTGATAATTTCACACTTAACAATCGAACTAAAATAATATCTAAGATGGTCATCAATTTGCCATAGAAATGCGCTCATAATCATGATTACCGTAATCCAATAACTCGATTTTTTTTATACTTGATTGAATGAAATGAAAGATCCTTCTGATTATCCGACTGGTATTGATTATAGAAAAGAGTTATTTTGAATGATTGAGTTTAAAAAAAATACCTTATGGAAACAATTAGATGATTTTCGAATAAATTAAAATTCATTGGTATATATGTCAAAATCATACTTGACGATAGAATATATCATTTAATTAATACAGCACAATGTTGTCGATCATAAAGATTTAGACAGCGAAGCTATAGACAAATCAATAAGAAAAATATCTAAACTGATAAGTTAAAAGCAAAAGCAGGTTTTAACAAATATTTTTTAGTCATTCAAGTAACTTCGACACCAAAACATAACTTGTATGGATGCATATCTGGTTGTATACCGGCTTGAACAGCTTTCTATGTACATATTTCCAATAACCATCTATGTTTAGCGTTTTGATAAGGTTTAAAATTTTTGAAGCGTACCCTCGTTCGATACAGTCTAAATCTTTTTGCGTTCATTAAGAAGCAATTCGCAAATAATAATCGAGCAATACTTTCGAAAAAAAAAAGTTTTCTTTTTTATATTTAAAATTCTAAATTAGAATAACAAAAAAAATTGATTTGTTCTTTTAGAAATTTCCTTATTTGTCAAGAACTTACAGCTTTTTTACATAGACAAGACATAATTGATAACTCAGAAGGTAATTTATAGTAAAGTTTTTTAATGATCGACCACTGACTTCTATCGAAAAACTATATTTTGTTAAATTTTGTTATTTTACTATAGATGAGTGAATATTCTATGAATAATGATGATATCTCAGTCAAACATTTACTTACTGAACAAAATCCTCGCATCGACAATGATCAACGTGAAAATTCAATACAAAATCGATCTAATTCAGCAAGATTCGTCAATGTTGCTGATAAAATAAAGAAGTCGACAATGATTCCAACACCTTTGTATATCTCTTTCTTTTCGTCTCAATCATCATAATAGATAGAATGTTTTCATTAGGGAATATTCGTGTTGGTCACGATATCGATCTGCAACCGTCGCAGGTGCATTTTCTATGTTCACGATTATAGCAATGGTTATCGGTGTACTGACAGTTTATTTCACTTCACCAAAACTTACTGGTATGTTCTTTTGCTATTGATATGTTGGCCATTTTTTTCATAAGTAAAATAAGATCACATCGAAAATTTGTTATTAAAAGCTCAAAAGAACACTGATAACCATATCTTTTTTTAATAGATCCATAGAAGTCATAGATCACTCACTGTACAAAAAAAGAGAAAAAATAATTACACAATAGTCATTCGAAAATTATCAAGGAGTATCCGTTGTCCTTACGATGGAACTATTGGCACATACTCACTATTGTCGGTCATTATTACCTGTATCATAGTTCACTATTTCTTCGTCGATACATTGCGCTGCTGGAACATGGTTGGTCAGTTAGTGAATTCACATCATCTCCTCTATCGCCGTAGCTCTATCCATTGTTATTCTCAAGTGTTTCTAGCAGAAATTGTTATATTCTGCTTGTTATTGTAATTACAAGTTCAAAATACTGATTGAATGACTTATATATATTCGTTGACTTTCGTCTTCATTCTAAAAGATGACGCATGTTTTGAACGAATTCTACAATAGATGAAAGAAAGGAAATAGATAAGTGACTTGACTGATAAAGTCCCATATCTAACTCTATCGGAATTCTAAGAAAATTAGCGGAGTTTCTATTGAAACACGATGGTTTTGAGTCGTGTCCAAGTAGAGTAATACGACAACTTCTAACAACATATTATAGGACTTGTGAAGATTCGATACGATTCAACAGAGATAGTTCCACTTGAGTAGCCAAGCAGTCATCACATTGCTTTTCATGTGTCATTTAGGTAAAAAATGTGAGTTAAAGTTCATATCAACGGACAAAAATCCAATCGAGTACAATTACGGTCCTCGATCTGTTGCTGTTGGCAACTTTAACAATGATGATTGGTTAGACATTGTTGTTGCTAATCAGGCTGTTAACTTTATTGTCATACTTCTTGGAAATGATGACGCAACTTTTTCAAGGCAAATAAAGTATTCGACAGGTGACAATTCGTCTCCGTATATGGTTGCAGTTGGTGATCTGAACAACGATAATCGATTGGATATCGCTGTGGCAAATTTTGGCGCTAACAACATACTGATCTTCTTTGGATTTGGTGATGGATCTTTTGGAAACCAAACCGTGATCTCAACTACTTCGTCTCGCCCACTCTGGATACACATAGCTGATATCAACAACGACATACTACTCGATATAGTCATTGTTAGCTATGGCACCAACAGTATTAGTGTACTGTTTGGATATGGACATGGACATTTTTCCAGTCCAATCAAGTATTCAACAGGCTACGATTCTCTTCCATTGTCAGTCGTCTCTGGAGATTTCAACAATGACAATCAACTGGATCTTGCTATAGCTAATTCTGGCACAAACAATGTGCTTATACTCCTTGGAAATGCCGAGAATAATTTTACAGAACAAGCGACATTTTCTACTGGTTCTGATTCTCATCCATGCTCACTCGCCGTTGGCCATTTTAACGATGACTTTCTGTTAGATATCGCCGTCGCTAATTTTGGTGCTGACAATGTAGGTGTATTTATCGGCCATGGTAACGGAACTTTCATACTTCAAACCACAAATCTGCTTGATACTTCTTCTCCGTATTTCATTACCGCTGGTGACTTCAATAATGACAAACGACTAGATTTAGTTACAACTAATAAAGGTACGAACAGTGTAAGTATCCTAATTGGATATGGTAACGGTAGTTTTCTAAGACCTACAATGTATTCAGCCGGATCTTCTTTTTCGACTTCATTGGCCATTGGTGATTTTAACAATGACAATCGCCTAGACGTTAGTGTGGTTAACAATGAGACTAACAGCATAAGTATCTTACTTGGTTATGATGAAGGCTTTGCTAATCTAACAACTTATTCAGCTGGTTCTCGTTGTGTAGCTGTTGGTGATTTCAACAACGACGCTCGCTTAGATATCGTCGTCACTGACGACTATGACAGAACTGTAACTGTACTTCTTGGATATGGTGATGGCTCCTTCGAAAATAGAATAACATCTCCTACTGGTTTTTCGCAATATTCTGTAGCTGTTGCTGATTTAAATAACGACACCAAATTGGATATCGTGGTTGTCTATCAACTTGACCAGAAAATAGGTATACTTCTCGGAAATGGCGATGGCTCTTTTGCCAATCAAATACTGTATTCAACTGCCTCTTCTAGTAATCAAAAGCCATATTACAGTGGCTCACAGCCATACTTTGTAGCTATTGCTGATTTTAATAAAGACGATAGACTAGATATTGTCGTCGTGAATAACGGTGACAACAATATAGGCATATTTCTTGGATATGGTAATGGTTCTTTTGCTAGTCAAACAACATTTTCAACGGGCTCTGAACCATATTCAGTAGCTGTAGGTGATTTCAACAATGACACTCGACTGGATATTGTTGTTGCTAATTTGCAAAACGACAGTGTTAGTGTATTGCTTGGATATGGTAATGGGTCTTTTGCAAAACAAATGACGTATTTAACTGGTTCTCAACCATGCTATGTAGCTGTTGGCGATTTCGATAACGATACACGACTGGACATCGTTGTTGTGAATCAACGGTCTCACAATGTAGGAATACTTCTCGGATATGGAAATGGGTCATTTGCAAAGCNATCAGCGTTAAAAACTATGTTCGTTCGAATAATTTAAAGAAATATCTTCCCTGAAGAAAATCACCTATAATATATTCGATTCGATGCAGTTTGTGACGCTGATTCCCAATATCAAAATTAGTTCGACCTACAAGAGTGTTTTGCCAATGAAAGCGCCTATAAACATATTGTTTCTTTCCAAGAGTTTTTAAAAAGTTCTATGAAATAGAGATTTACAATTCATTAGAATAGGCATCCAACTTTCAATATCAAATATCTATAAATAACCGTGTTTCTTAACTAAAACAATAACACCACATTCAGCTGATGTTTGCATACCAACAAGAAAATCATCTAGTACTTCAGATGGAAATAGAGCATCAATAGTGTTTTCTTTGAATTGGTTGATTATATGATACTGTTGTTGCAACTTCAATAAGGTGAACTTATGAAGCAGAAGAAAGAAAAAAGACAAATAAATAAAAAAGAACGATAGAACGAATTTTTGTTTCTACTTTTCTTCCTTGTCGACCACGAGCAGCAAAAGAACAAAGTGCTTATTTGCTGTGAGTTTCAATCAACTAAGTGCAGCAGCTTTTCGTTCAGCTAGTTGTGAAACTGTTGGTCCAACTGAGTAAAGCTGCCTACGATCAACAATACAAGCTTCTCGAGCTTTAATACTTATATATTGAAATAGAATTATTTCTAAAAAAAAAGAACTTTAAATAATAATTGATGGTGGGTGTGTGAGTATGGATAAGAGAATGCACAGCGACCGCATACCCACACCTACATCCCAGGGTGGGCATTGATTTCAAATACATCCACATTCATGCCCACACACATCCATACAAATTCTATGAATTCTCTAGGATATTTTACAAAATTGTATTTAATTCTATAGAATTTGGAACTCAGATTTCCGTTGTATCTTGTAGAATTTCGCAGAATTCTAGGATACCGCTATTTACCCACTGTTACATTCACAAGCCTACTCACATCCCAAACGGTGCTGCTGTGCAAATAAAGAGTATTACTTTAATGAATAGTTTCTTTTTGTGTGTATACCGAATAAGTAAAAAAAAGTGCATTACTCTCCAACATGCATCATAGAAGGTAAACAGTTATTGAAAAGCAAGTTGGAAGAAAAAAACATTCAACTTAAAAAGTTTCTGCGCCATGCAAATGTTCTTCATCAGAAGCAAAAGAATCTTTCCGTTCCACGCAGCCTGTTGCCACCAAGCGTGCTTGCACTAAAAACGTTGCAAGTCAATATCTATGACATAATTGAATCTTTTAAAGAATATATCGCTTGGTTTCACGCGTTTGAAACGACCATGTGATTACTCTGCTGGCGAGAGACGTCAAAAAGGACTTATTGATTTTTATCGACAATCTTAATTTCAACGAAGACTGATAAACAAATCAATGAAGAGCCGTGCCTAAAAGCATCTCATAGTTAATTTTGTTTTGTCAGTCATAGGTAATAGATTTAAATACGACAACAAGTTTCTTTTACTATGGCGATTATATGACAACAGTTGATGCAACTGGATGAATATTATTCTAAATTTTCCAGAGATTAACCAAGTTGATCAATAAGATACATAAAAGTATTGTAAACAAGCTCTTTATTTCGTATTCTACAAACGAAAAGAGTGTCGATGTGAATGTGGGTAAAGATTATAACTACACCCACACCCAAGAAATAAGTGACGCTTATAACAGCAGGCAAGAATATTAAGATGAGACAACCAATTTTTGCAATATCACACACGAAAAATATACTATATGATTGTTTTGGATGTAAACAAGTGCTACTATCAGTCAATGTCTGTTCTACAAAAATTTCATTGTCGATCTTATGAGTTTTATTCAAATATTTTGTTGAATTTTGTGAAAAGTATTGTATTAAATCTAGCGTCGATAGTTTCTCTTTCACGCATAGAGGATATTGATTTTGAAAATTTTATGCCTTGCACTTTTGCTTCAACGCATGCATTTAAAAAGCAATCAGATTTTGATATTATTGAAAAAGTGGCCGATTTTCGAAACACGACTAACAAGCTACGAAACTTTGTGAAATTCACATCCAAATTCTTTAGCCAAGTTCAGCTTTTTTGTTGTTTGAGTCATGCATTACGAAGTGAGATGCATTTTGATAAAACACAGTAATGCATGTAAATAAAGTTGACTTTATAATTGAGTTCAATGGAATGCTACGTGAAACTGACGGTGGACGACTTCGGTTGGACACAATGAAACGACGACATTTCAGTTCCTTTTTTGCCAAGAGCTTCATCACACTCTCCTACTATAAATACACTTCATCATTATTTCATACGCATTTGCTTGCAAGAAAACAGAAGAAAAAAAGACGAAAGTAAACAATTGTATGAAAGTGGCCGTGTAGCTTTTCGTTAGCAATGAAAGAGAAATGAATGGCTCATTAATAACATATCTATATGTTAATGTCTTCGAGTTGACTAGATTCTTTGATTTCTGCTTCAACTACTCGAAATTCCAATTATTCGACTATACAAGTCGATCAGATTGGCATAGTAGATCTATGCCTGTTCTCATACGATAATTCATTGTTCATTTAAGACAAATCGGTTGCCATCATCGAAAAATTTAGGCCATCTACACAATCGATTGTCGATATATCGAGCATTATGATATTTCATAGTATTATTTAGAATTCGAAGGCACAGAATATCACTTATTATTGTTGTCAGAAAAGTCGATTGAGTGCAAGTCGGTACCCAGTGAAAAATTTTAGGGATTAAAATCGATTAAAATTTCAAAATTATATGGGTATAATCGGATTGATGATTTTGATTATAATCGATCATAATTTGACTTTTGTTCAGCAGTATTCATGGTGAAAACTCTCAAATAATTGACTTCAGCACGATTTTGATCAATTTTTTATACTGTTGTACTTGTTTGTAAATGATAAGGTGAAATACAACTAAGCAAAGACCTTCCCCCTGCAAAAAAAATCACGAAAAAAAAACGATTGAAGTCAGATTTCTTCCGTTTTTTACATGGTAATTATCTGGTCTTATTCTTTGCTACCTGTTAATCTGCTTCAGCGTCGTATTATCTCTTAATTACTTTTTATCTATTCTTACTTCTTAAATGATTTTAATCTATACTTACAAGTAACGCAGCGCAAACGCTGCTAACCCTCTACTGAAAGGATGAGTTGCATCGACGATAGAATATTATAAGTAATAGTTATGGGGTATGATTCGTTGGCAGAACGTTAGAGAGCGGAATGAAACGAATCATTATTCTTCAAGAATTGGAAATTTAGATTCCCATATTCTGTATTTCCTACGAAAAGTGTATATTCTGAACATGTTAAAAATATGCTTTACATTCCCATGATATTGTCAACATTCTCCGTGCTCGCTTTCTCCAGCTAAATATTCTTATAGCATTATCTATATTCTGATCAAAGGGTTAGTATCGTGTTCCCAGATTTTAAAATGTCTGAAATTTGAAAACAAACGATTAAAGGTGACAAAAAGTTCTGTGTTAACGCCGAAAAATGAATATATGCCTGCAAGAAGATGTGTGTTAAGATTCATGGCTCAAGCAAAGCGATTTTTGTTACTTTTATTTCATGAAAAAAGATTGTTAGCGCAGCCCCTTTGGAACTGAAATGTAGAACTCACATATACTCGCAAAAACTCGCTCTTAATCTTATACTCACCATTTTCTTCGAAAAATATGTGAGTTCGACAAAACTAACTCAGCAGTCAATATATTTACTATGATAGTGTAGTTTTTCTCTCTCAAGGCATTTCAGGTAAACAAATACATTATTCACTTTTTATTTTTAATCTCTCTCATGTTCTTTCTTGAAGGGGGCAGTGTCGATATAGCTCTTCTCTTAACTCCTACTCACACTCCACCCAATAAATCTAGATCAACAACAAAAACCTGTTAGCGTCAGTGATGATACACTGTGATGCTAAACGAAGATTAAGATACGCTTTCTGGTTTAATTGGCTAAGGACATTTGCCCGGATAGCAGAAGATGTGGGTTCGAGTCCCACAAAGGTCGCCTTTTTCTTCATTCTGTTTGTTCACTGCATTCCCAATCGTATGAATCATATATGATGCTTACAAAACCGTGTCGCTATTCGATTGGGTACAGCAGAGTAATGATATGCGCGGTTCTTTTTCACTACAAACTTGATAACCGACGAAGATAAAGACTTTACGAGTCGAAAATTCCCGCTTTCGTAATTTCATACCCTGACTATATATGATCCGAATTCGATTGAAACTGACTGTGCTGTTATAGAGCTAAAACAATTTTATTGTCAGTATCGACGTACGATAAAGTCACCAAATGGCATTATGTTAGTTATAATTCGCTGAAGAGCACGCAAATGAACTCCAAAGATGCTCGAAAACTTTGATCGATACTCATTCATAGCTGTCTAAAATCCTCAGAGATACATCTCTCACTATAGACAAATTAAGATATACAGAATAAGAAGATATTGTAATAGATATGGATATTTGAATACATAGCATATTGGCTTCATATTTCCGATAAATTACTAGCATAGATTCGAGTAATGTTACTCTGAAAAAAAATAATAAAAATAGAAATTCTCGTTATAAGTATATCATGGAAAGCAAGATAGAAACTTTAACATAGAATATATTTCAATTTGAACGCAGTTTTTTGTTCTTTTAAATATTTAAAAACCTTGTTAAGATAAAGTTTGGCTTCTACAGAAGAGCCAACTGATATTCGTCTATTTATTCAAAAGCTATGACGAATTTTTTGACAACTTTGCAGATTCTAATGAGTGGCTGAAAAAGAGATATCAAGTCTCGTTCTCTTCGGCTATGGGTGCGGGTGTGGCTGTGGCTGTGAGAGTCTGGGTACTGGTATAGGTTGAGTCAAGACTAGCACCCTCACCCACACCTGTGGTTGTGTCTTTGAGTGTCTGAGTATGACGGTGGAATCGGTGCCGAGTTGCGATTGCAAGTGTTCTCTTCACCGTCATCAACACTGAGACCGTCACT